TTATATTTCTGGTGCAGTGAAGGGCTTGGCATCGAACTCAGGGCCTAGCCTATGTAAGACAAGTGCTCTACTGCTGAGCTACCTCCCTGGCCCAGTGAGGAGACACCTTTGAAGAAGGCCATCTTGGGCTGATTGGGACACCACAATCATGCCCAATTTCTGAGTAGCCCTTATGTGCTAGTCAGTTCAGGGGCTCTGCCAGGTGGTTCATTTTAACAGATAACACCAGCTATCCAAAATCGGCTTATGGGGGGAAGGAGAGGACCAAACTGGGTGTTTGGGGCTTATTCCTGGCAGGGCTCAGGGGACCATATCGGGTGCCAGAGATTGAACCTGGGTCAGTCAAGTGTTCTGCCCACTGTACTCTCTGGCTCCCAAAGTAGACATTTTTGTTACTGCTTCATTTTTATTACTATTTCAGCATCTTCTCGGGCAAACATAGGAAAAAACACTACACAATGCCACAAGCCAGGCTTTTCTTTACTCAATCCTCGATACTGTGCACAAATTATGCATCTATTCTGGAATAAAAGACAGAGTCATAACTAATTAGTTTATTAGTTAAGAATTATTTCCACTATTATTTACATAGTGCAATAACTGTTATTACCCCTAAAATGTGATATAACAATCCTTCATACAGCAAAAGAACAAAATGAAAATCCCTTCATGTTGCAATTCATATTCATTTTGCTAATTCTTTATTAGATCATTAAAATTAAGACATTAAATTATAAATTCATGTGATATATTTAGAAATTAAATTACAAAATAATACAAATACTTTTAAGGTGTGATGTGCCAACGGTTTTAAGTCTGTGTCATTAATTAAGATTCAGATTTCAGATTAGGCTAACAGTTTGGTTGATTCCGTGACTACATGAAGACTGGAAGGAATAAGGAAAGAGGAAGTTGTAAATAAATTATTTCACAGAAAAATTTTAAATTCAAATCAAAAACAAACTTTTTAAGTAAGTTAAGTTAATGTTCTAAACTGCTGGCACAATGTACAGAAAATATTTAAATGACAGGAGTAAGCAAAGAGTGGCTTTACAAATAGTAATACTTCTTTATATATATATTAAAGTAACAATGTATTAAGTTTTTAAGTGTTAAAGAGCTGAAAAATGAATGGGACTGTTCACTACTCATTTGCACATTACAATTTCCACACCCCACCACCCCCAGCTTATTAAGAAATCAGACAAGTACATTATTTGGATATTAATTTCTCAATATTTAAACTATGTCCATTCCTTTTGACTAACTCTTTTCCAAATACTAGAAGCATATAAAATACCATCTCTGCAAAAATGACGTCCAGTGAAAGCCTTTAAAAACTTTTCAATGTATAACAGATTACTTTTCCCAGGTTTAGTCAAAAGAAATATATTACATCATTTACAAACATATTTAAACCAAAATTAAGCTATTATGAACACTTGTCTTGTGTGAAGTAATCTCCACAGCAAACAAACCCAAACTGCTGAAGCAGAAATCTAGTTTGGAGAGTACGATTCATACTGTAATTCATATGCTTATGTACTGAAATAGAAATCTAATTATTAATTATTGCCAGTAAAACCTTTACACACCAAGAAAAAAAAATAACTCTGGCCTGTAGTTCTTGTGATGATGACCCCTTCCTCTGTGACACCTCTGTGTAGGTCTCTGCAGAGATACTCATCCCCTCTTCCAAAATAAAACACTTCCTAATTGTCACAACTCCTACATATAATACACACAAAGCCCCGAATGTACCCAACAGAAACAAATTAGAAAGACATTATTAATACTTAGTCAAGCCTATTTTCAACATAGTAGCATTTCCTTTAATGAATTTTGGGTCACCCTCTAAAGGTGACCTGTCTTGTATACAAAAGATTGTGTGGTCCCTTGATGCTGCTGGCAGAATGCACTGCAAGTTCAAGTGCATAGAGAGCACATAACTGAACACTTGTAAAGTCTAGAGCAAAAAAATAAATAAATGACTGGTGTTCTGGAGATTTTTCTCAACTTTTTCTATACAAATGTCAAAAACCTACAATGACAACTCTCGTTCAGAAAAAGATACAAAACACGAGAGACCTTTGAAAAGCCGTTACCTCAAGATCAAGAGTTCTATGAATTACTGACAGCAAGCAAAGGACATATACACCAAAAAAGTATGAAAGGTTTTCTGAAATTTATTCTTGAGATTGTCAGTAGTTCAAGACCTCTATCATTTCTTTAGCCCAACTAACATTTCCAAATGTGTTGACATTTCAAATCTGCCACATCTAACTCCATGATTACTCTTCCAGGGGCTTCATTCCTTGCCACTGCATTCCTTTCAGATCTGGGTAATTAGGTACTTAAGTCGGTACTAGGGAGGACCAGCTTACACATGAAAGTAACAATAGTACCCCTTTCAGTAAACTGACCAAGCTGAAAGATATTTCCTATAGAGCAATGCTTCTAAACTTTAAAAATTCACAAACACTAAACCATCAACCAAGAGTCCACTTCAGGAATAAAATGCCAGCTGCATAGAACCTGTAACTACTTCAGTAGTCCAAATGAGTTCAGTAAAGAACCTGCCCAATTCTTCTCTCTGGCCTCTGAGAGGCAAAACCCTAGCCTTTATAAAAATGTAGGACAGAGAAACAGTTCTTTCCTTCCTTGGTTGGCTTTGTGCCTATTTACGTGAGCTAGATTAAGCATCAAGCATGCATGAGTGTACGTGTGTGTATGTGTGTATGGGTGCATGTGCCTGGCTGTGCTGTTCAGCTGGATGATAGGTCACAGGAGACTGGAGGGAGCACAGAAAAATAACGCATGATTCTCCCACTAATAGACACACCTTACAGAGGCCACCACCAGGGGGTGACTGATGAGCAAATAAAATGTAGTTAATTTAACTTCTCCCGAGCAAGCGTACAAATTCCTAGAAAAGGGCAGAGGTAAGTAACAGAGATGAAGAATACCTGCGTACACTCAAAATCATCTAATGGTTTCAACACAATTAGAACGACTTTCTCTTTTCTTTGAAACTTCCTTTTCCAAATCTTGATTATCGGGATACATATTATAAACTGTATAAAGGTCCTTTCCTTGAACTCCTATTAATCACTACAGCTGATGTTCTGGAGAAGGTATTCAAGGCTAAAGGCAAAAAAAAAAAAAAAATCAGATGCATTTAAGAAGGTAAATGGAGTCTCACTCAGGACAGGCCTGGACAGCCAAACCACCGCACGCTCAAATGAAGGGGGTCACAAATCAGATGCATGCCTGAGACCACCACAGGTCAGACCATTTCCAGACGATTTGCTCGTAAGTGCTGCAGACATGTAAGTGACTGGCCGGTCACCGGTCAAAATGTGTCACCCTGATGTGACCAAGCCTATGTGCGAGTATACTTGAGACAAGTGAGAGCAACCATGAGACACCACCTAAATGGTTCCACCATGAGTGACTTATGGGTGTCGCTTGTTAACCAGTCAGCGGCCATCAAGCACAGTGGGTACTCTGTTCACCTCAATTGTGGAGGCTCTGTTTCAGCAAACCCCAACTCTGACGGATTATAAGAACCAGTGGTTTCCTAACCAACATCTGTGACTCAAATGAAAGCTGCACCAATTTGGAACATACTCTGTGGATTTAGCCTCGGCCTATAATTTATTTTCTAACTCTACCTCCAGTTCTTTTTTTAAAGAAGCCCCGGACATCATTCTGGCCAGATAAATTACAAGTGAGGGCAGAGTCTTGAAGCAAACACTGGAAACTGCTCCCTTCTTTAGAACTTAACTTTTACCCTTTAAAATGTCTTTACATAGGCATTTGAAATTAAAAAATGTGCCAGGCACATTTCTTTTTTCAGTCATTATTTTCCTTTACAAAATAAGCTCAAACAACTCTGAATTTTCCACACAGTTCTTAAAAAGACACATAGATGCTAACTAAAAGCTAAGCCATAGATCATAACAAGGAAAAGACAGTTACAAAAATATCTCTGTCAGGAATTAAATACATATATTAAATACTGGACAGTGCAAATGTCGAGATGAAGCACAGATTCTAGCAGAGTGGACGAGAGAGCGGGAGTGTCCCGGAATCACACACTGGGGGGCAGACAATTAGCATCGGGCCGTTCCTTGCTGGGCGAGCCGCAGGTGCTGGGCTTGGGCAGCTCCTGGCTGGCCGGGGGGTCAGCAGTCCAGGCCTCACTGTCTGCCCCGGGCTCCGGCGCCTCGGCTGCCTCTGCTTCCTCCTCCCCACTGTGCTCTGTGTGGTCTTCCTCAGAACCGTTGAGGGTTTTTCCCAGCTGCAAAGTTTCCATCGTTCTCTGGGTCTCTGAGACCCAAGATTCAATTCTACTATTGAGCTGAACTTCTTCAGATATGGGTTCGTGGGCATAGTCTTCCTCCTCCTCCTCCTCTTCATCATCCTCCTCCTCCAGCATGCCGGGCACGAGAGTGCTGGTGGTGCTGGTGATGGAGGAATTCAGGAGATCGCGGCAGCTGCCATCCAGAGAGCCCGTCTCTGTGCTCTGCTGCGAGGCCCATTCCAGGTCATCGGGCTTCGCGTCCTCCTTCTCGCCGGTGACGGGCTTTCCCGGGCTGGGGGCTGAGGTGGGACTGCCCGCACCCGCTGTTGACGGCTGCTTCCCCATGGCGGGCGAGTCAAGGGCGAGTTTACTGGGCTTCTCGGATGCGCTGTGCTTACAGGAAACCTCTTTCTCATTTTCTGATGTTTCCAGTCCATCTGAGGTTTCCACCATATTTCTCCAATTTGTTTCTGCAAATATCAAACAGATTTTTTTTTCCCTTTAAAGAGAACACTGCTTGGGAATCATGAAATGTTTAAAGAAAGAACAACAGGAATTTGGTGGCTCACCAACTGACTGGAAAAGCTAGAGCTCAGTCTATTCTAACACTAGTATAAATGATAGAAAGGAAAACTACAAAAATGTGCTCTGGCAAGACAAGTGTATCAATCAATGCCTCAAAATATGAAAGATCGTGCTCGCTTCGGCAGCACATATACTAAAATTGGAACGATACAGAGATTAGCATGGCCCCTGCACAATGATGACACACAAATTTGTGAAGTGTTCCATAGTTTTTGCAAACTACAACAGCCGAAAGGAAAGAGAGAGCAAAAGGGGATGCTCTGCCACGGAGGCAAGGTGGGGGGGGGGGGGGGGGAAGGGCGGGGGTGCAACTGGAATCATTGGTGGTGGAGAATGGGCACCGGTGGAAGGATGGGTGCTCAATCACTGTGTAACTGAAACACAAGCACAAAAGTTTCTAAGTCTACAACTGTACCTCATGGTGTTTCACTAATAAAAAAAAATATATGAAAGATCTTATACAGGAGCAGATACTCAAATACATATATTCATACAAATATGTATAATTTATGTATTTATAAAAATCACAGGGTGCAGAGCCAGAAACAGTTCTCATCTGACAGGTTTCTATCATGCTCCCTCAGCAAATTACATAAGCATCATCTTTTGGCCTACAAAGGAACTTCCGCTTCCATTAGTAACAAAGAAGTCATCCATGTGTTCTTAACACTGGTGAAAAGTTATGTTTTATGATATATGTGGCCTGGCTTATCATGTTTCTTTGCAGGCAAAAAAAAAAAGCATTATTGTAATATTTTAGTATCATTCTCTAGGTGCCAGGAATCCATTCCAGACACACACATGCAAGCCTAGTGCTTTGTCACTGAGCCACATCCTTTATCATTTCTAATAGGAAGTGTTTCCTCCTAAGTACCATCACAATATTTGCATTTTTTTACACACTGTCTTCCCCAATTTATTGATTCACTGTTTTCGTTTGTGGGTGCCTCTCAGGTCATAACCTGTACCACCATCTCTCCAGATTCAGTGCACTGGTCAGCGCTGAGTAAGAGGACTCTTTAATCCGACTGCTGCATTTTTTAGCGAAACCAACAAGACAAGATCAAACAAAACAATCAACCACTCCCACTCCTGACATCTGCATGAGCTTTAAGCACGGACTACCATTTTGGACCATTTCTCATGGGCAAGAACCATGCCACAGAAACTAGGCAGGCAGTTCTGGCCCCAAGCATCCTCAGCAATTAGCTTGAATTTTCTAACTGCAATTTCATCAGTCCGCACTGCATTCAGACTCATTTCAAAAACATGACCCTGGAGGCCATGAGATGCAACTTGGGTCCCTGTGTTCTCACAACTTAAGTGCTTTTACGGGATTTCTTATACTGAACACTGTGGGACTTTCATGTCATGCCAATCTTCCATAGAAAAATACATCAACTGCTCTCTTCTTCTTTGCCACCTTTTGTAAGGCAATTATTTTTGCCAAATGCAACACTGCTACTCAGCTAAAGCTCCAGACAAAATAACTCATGAGAAAACTTAAGATACATGGGGCAGGCTAAATGATGTTATTTTGTAACACAGTGGTAATAATCTGATTTGTTTCTTTCTTTGGGGGGGGGGTCACACCTGGTAGTGCTCAGGAATTTTACTCCTGGCCATGCCCAGGACGTATTCCTGGCAAGTTCAGGGGACTATACAGGATCCCAGAAGTCTGGTGCCTTCCCCACTGTATTATCTCTCCAGCCTCCTGGATGACTTTTTTCATTTGAAGTCTATGTTGTCTGACATAAATATGGCCACTCTGGCTTTTTTTCCCCTCTCTTTTGGGTCACACTTGGCAATGCTCAGAGGTTACTCCTACACTGCACTCAAGAATTACTCCTGGCAGTGCACAAGGTCAGCCGTGTCCAAGGCAAATGCCCTATCTGCTGTATTATCACTCCGGCCCCCGCTCTGACCTTTTTAAGGAACTTATTTGCTTCTTGGCCTTTGACTTTGAGCTTCTGTTTGCCCTGGCTCTTCAGATATGTCTCCTAGAGGAGGCAGAAAGTCGTATTCAACTTCTGACTCATCCTGCCCGTCACTTGACTGTGGAGTTCAGGCCACTGATGCTGACTTAGAGCACTGAGGCGAAGAAACTGACTGCTACCAATTTGTGGAAGTTACTGTTTGTCAAGTTCGTCCTGTCTTTTCTTTTATAGCAGCTTCTTTAATGCTTCTAACAAAACAGGTTTCAAGGCCCCAAACTTCCTAAAGCATTATTCCTTCAAATATATCCATAAGGCATTATTCCTTCAAATATGAATGATAGTCTAGCCAAATTATGTATTCTGATGAGGGCTGATTTCACTGAGGTTTCAAGCCCGCTCCCCACCCACCCGCAGCCCAATCTCCCATGTTTCTCTTCTCATATCCTGTGCTTCTCTTTTGGCCCATACTACTTTATTTGATAGCTCTGCTATGAATCTTACAGGCTTTCCTACATTGCATTCTTTCTTTGACCATGATATTGATTTGGGGGGGTGTGGTGGGGGCACACCTGTTGGTGCTCAGGGATCACCCCCAAAGGAGGACTATGACGACCATATGGGATGCTGTGTCGGCCGCATGCAAGACAAACGTACTACCTACTATAGTATCACTCCGCCCCATGATCTTGCTGCTTTCAATATTCTCACTCTGGCTTTGGCTTTTGCTATTCTAATTACAATGTGTCTTGGGAGCATTTCTACTAGGGTCTATTTTCACTGGGACCCTTCAACCTGATTTTCTCTTTCTCCCTTACCATATACTGAACTCATCACTCTAAGTTGTTCTTTCCATACAAGATTTATTTCCTACTTTACCTTTCACATTCTACTGATCCAGTAAGAATCATGCTTAAATGTTAGTGCCTTTGGGAGCCATTTCCTCAGAGACAATTCACTAACTGGAACTCCCACAGCACTTCTGAATATATATTTCATAAATGCACTTGTTTCTTATTTGCTGGTTCACACTCTTCTGTCTCCTCACTTTCAAACTCATCTCTGTATTCCTACACTCGGTGGCATACACAGTAAGTGCCGGGGGAGGAGGTTTGGGAGGAAGACCTACTTAAAGTATGATGCCCCCAGAAATCTTTAAGAAGAGCTAAATTAAAAAAAAAAATTATGTGCCAGATAAATAGCACAGAGGTTAAGGTGTTTGCTTCACCTGCAGCTGACCCCGGTTTTAAGCCCAAGTCCCGTATATGGTCCCCCCAGCACCACCAGGTGTGTTCCCTGAGCATAGAGCACTAAGCACAGTAGACCCTGAGCTCGGGCAGATATGGTCCCAAAACCTACTCCACCAAAAGAATTTTTAGATGCATATTTGTACTTTATTTCAATAGTTGTTTTCCTGCCTACGAAAGTACCAAAAGCATTCACTTGGGGTCTTAGAAAAAGTTCCACCTCTCCCTTGCCAAGGAGGAAAGAGGAAAGTGAGACCGAGCAGGTCCTCCTCCCGGATACTCGGGTCAGCAGAGTCAAGTGAGGAAAGAGATGAGACAAGTGGGATGGGGGCCGTTGGCAGCAGCACCTGGTTCCCCAAGCCGCCTCCCCAGCCTAGCTTATAAAACCTTAGCTAAGAATGAAACATTCTAGATGACTCAGCAAACCCTCCTCATTTTGCTAAGAAAGACCAGTGATTAATCAATTATGCATGAAGTCCCAAGGAAAAGTATGAAACAGCCAGAGAATCCAATCTTGAAATACTGTAAATCCAGAGCTTTTTGGAAACAGTTCTTAAATCTTTGAAAGACTCTTTTTATAACTTTTCCCTGGTGCAAATGAAGATCACGGTTATTTACCCAAACCCCAGCTGTATGAATTTATCTTGCAGTCTGACTTTAAGATCTCACAGCTGAGGTAGAGAGACTGATCTCATTTACAGGGTTGGCATTATCTCTGGACAAACTAGCTTCTGTCTCTAAGTCAGGACCTACCCTCCAAATAGTTTCCGTAACTGCCTCTGGTTTTGGAGTTTTGTTTGTTTAAAAAAAAAAAAAGAGCTTTGTGAGAAAAGCATTCCAAGCATCAACTACAATCACAGACAGGATACCAGAGATGGGAGTGTGAGAGGAAAACCGGAGTTCGGGTTTTGAACATGTTCAATGTTAGCTGGTGTTCTACTAGACTGACTTCGAGAGATTAAAAAGAACAAAGAGATGAACAAGGAGTCACACTGTTCCCCAGCACCACTCGAAGGACCTGGAGCACTGAGTCAGAATAATCCCCCAAGCGTGCTCAGTATGGCCCCCAAACGAAGCAAAAACAAACAGAAAAGGAACTAGAAAACAAGTTATGTGGATTTGTAAGACAGAGCAAAAAAGACAGTTACTTTAAACATGATTATTTCTCTTTTCTTTTTGGTTTTGGGCCCATACCTGGCAGTACTCAGGGATCCCTGATGGTGGCGCTTGGGGGACATACCTGGTGCACTTGCATGCAAGACAAGCACCTCGCCCGCTTTGCTTTCTTTTGTCACCGCCCATAACTGGTTCTTAATCTTGTTTGCTTTGTTCTGGGGTCATACCTGCTAATGCTCGTGGGCTGTAGCGGTGGTGCTCAGAGGACTGCACGTGCTACTGGTGAACTGAACCTGGGTTGTGGCCACGTTGGCCTGGGCAAAGCAAGTGCCCTACCTCCTGTAGTATTTCTCTGATGCCTTGAAACTATTTCAAGTATTATGCTCTAATTTTTATAACAGCTTTAATAGGATACATAATTTTTTAAGTTATTTCTTTTTGATTACTATCAGATTTAATGCAAAAACAAATGTCACGAGGGACTAGAGATGTGACACTGTGGCAGAGAGCAAGCCTTGCACATGCTGTGTCCTGGGTTTGAGATCACCCCCCACCCACCAGCTGCCACCGGGGCCATGCCCTAGCACCAAACCCTGTCAGGGGCAAGCCCCCAGCACCAATAACAACAGTAATGAAAAACGTTACAGGTCTAGAACTTTTATCAGCTTAGACTTCAGGTCTTTCACTTCCTTAATAAATAAAAACTTTCACTAGTTGGGAGATTGCATAGAAGGTAAGACACTTGCCCTATATGAGGCTGCTAAGGCAACTGAGGGGTCACTCCTGAACTCGGACCCAGAACCAGCACCGAGCACCACTGGATGTGGCCTAGGACAGGAATAAAGAAGCATTCAAGGACTTATTTAGTTATAGGTCACAAAGTAAGTCTATTTTATGACTGAGATACATTTTCTGC